TCAAATAAACAATTTTATTAATCGNGACGCACAATATAAAATAATGTAAAAGAATAAATAAAACTAGATAACTTCAAATCAAACAAATAAATCAACAATTTTACACCATCAAAATAAAAATAGAATAAAACTTCAAATAAACAATTTTATTAATCGTACGGAGAAATTTAGTTAATTGTAATGGGAATGAAACTGAATAAAGAATAACAATCAATAAATAATGTTTCATACTATTATAGAAATTTTTTTTTTTAAATAACAAAAAAATATTAAATAAAAATCAAAAATATTTACTCTAAATATTTAAATTATTTTTAGATTATATCCCGCCCGTAGGGCGGGCCGGGTCCTAGTTACTTATATAAAAGTGTTACATAAAAGGAAGAGAGAAAATTATAGCAATTATAATTTTTTCTTAAGTTTTGTGTTATTATAATTGTTAACTAAGTTTAAAAAATTTACAAGATATATAGATTCACTACTTCTTTAAATTTTTATCTTTTATATCATGCAAAACAAATATTTTACAAAACAAATTTGTAACAAAATTTTAAGATTATTTTTATTAATTCAAACCGATGAGATATCCGTAAGTATTCGTAAATATCCACAGATATCTATTTATTTTTGGATATTAATTTTATGAATATTCGTATTTTACTAAAGCAAAGCAAATCGAAAAATTAGATATCCTTGATATACGAAGCAAATCACAAATACCTTCAAAACCCAGATATCTGATCCGTGCCAGTTATTTATAATTCCATAAAACTATAAATCCACAAACAATGACATGAACACTTGACACTTCTCTGTGTTCTGAACTTTGAACATATATTAGAATATTACAATATATCGAAAACTGAAAAATGTATAACCTAAAAAGTACATCTTGATCATAAATAATATTTTCCTGATTCGAACGTTCGTTATGGTGTATATTTTGGTTTGTTAATTTTCGTTTCAATAAGTCACAAATTTTTTTTCAAAGTGAAAGACATTATTGAAGAAAATCATAGAGTAAACCTGAATCATAAACTTGAACTTACACGGGCAGGGGCGTCCTTGGACAGAGCAAGATGAAACCTAGGTCTAGGGCTTCTATTTTTTAAGGGCCTCCGTTTAAAAAAAATTATGTAGTACAAAAATTGTTAGAACATTTTATCATTATATCTATCTATACTATTATTTGCGAAGTGATTTTTCGCAACTGAGCTCTCACGTTAAAAGTTGAAGTGGTTAATATCACTTATACCCTTATTTTATACTAGTATTTGCGAAGTGATTTTTCACAACATAACTCTCACGTTAAAAGTTGGAGTGGTTAGTATCGATTATACCCTTAATGAAACTTTTATATATAACTAATTTTATAATTTAAAACGAAATTTAAAAAATAAAATTAGATTAGTATGTTAGATTAGTATGTTATTATCTTAGATAACTTATAATAATAATATAATAAGTTTATAAAAAATCAAAAATAAGATAATTCTTATATATGTTATTATCATCTGAATCTAATCTATTAAAATTGAAGTACAATTAGTACTTAACCCTAATTTTTCCTAAATATTTACAAGAGAATGCCATTGGTATAATACACTGCCGTTTGTGAGATTAATAAACCATGCCGTTTGTGACATTAATAAACCATAATACACGGCTTTTTGTTTACGAAGTAACATATCAGTTTGTTTCCGGAAAAGTAATAGAATTTTAGTGGGCTTTCTATTAATTATATATTATTTTAGCCCAAATCAATATATTTAGCGATAACCCAAATTATAGTTGTAATCCACTTATTTGTTTGTTTGTTGGTGATTTGTTCGTGGGTTTAGAAAATGGACTTAAGAATCTATCTTACATATTGTAAATTAAAAAATATTCTTAAATAATTATTAAATATTTAATTCACTAGAATAAATTAGTGATGATTGGTTCGAATGTGACTATAAAAATTTAGTTGTAAATACGTTGGTTGTAGCGGTAAAGTTGTTACTATAGATTTTTGATGTAATTAAATCTGTTGTACCAGTAATTATGTATATTTAAAATAGTTATTTTTATCAACTAAAAAATGTATTAATATTTTTTTTATAAATTATCAAAGTTTGTTTTTATTTTAAATGTGATATATATAAATAAATTTATGTTATTTAAAATATTTAAATAATTTTTAAAAACACCCAAAAATAAATTTAATATTTATATATACTTTGTTATTATGATTATCTAATTTATTTGATATCATAGATAGTTTTTTTCATTTTACAGCTTCTACAACTTATAAAACAAAGATAAAAGGATTTTACCTAAAATATTTAAGAATACAATTCGCTTTAGTTTTTCTTATGTAGCTTTAAAAGTAAAGCTAAACATGATTGGTAAAAATTAACAGAAATTTGTTGTAGGTTTTAATTTTGAAAAATAAAATTATAACATGATTAGTAATGTTTAGTGCTTTAAAAATAAACTAGAGTTTTTACCCGCACGTTCGTGCGCATATATTTTCATTTTTAAAAATTTATTTAATATTAATGTAAATGTTTTAAATATATAATTTATATTTTTATGTTATATATTGGGTAAATATAATCTAATTGTTGTAGGTTTTTATTCAACATTATTAATATATAATATTATTTAATTTTTTACGTTGTTATTCAACATTATTAATATAAAATGTTTTTTATATTTTCTCAACATATTATTTTATAATAAAAATATTAAATTTTCAGTTAAAAATATTTTTCACTAATATCTTCTGAATTATTAAAACTTTCTGATAGTGCAATCCTATTTTAATATAGCATAGACTATAATATGAAATTTATAAAATAGTATAGGATTATTTTTTTGTTATTATAGTGAAATCTATATTATTAAAACTGAAGTACATTTGAGAATTGTTTGGAAACAAGGATAACATTTAATAAAAGGAATATATTGTTGTTTGACAACAGAGATTGCAGTATATTAAAAACTAATTGGGCTTAATTATTAAGAAAAATTGAAAGTCTTATAATAAACTATCTATTTGGGCCAACTTTACAATATATGCAAATGGACCAATCTAATTTACCTAAAACATTTTTTGTTTAAGATAATCATAATACAAAATTTAAACTTTATATGCATATTTCAAATCAAAATAATAATTTAAAACTAATTTGTAGCAAAATTTGATTCTAATATATATATATATATATTCAAAAATTGATTTTTACTAAAACATTTTTCAATAGGGATTATAAAAAAGTATTCAATATATATAAGAAAAATATAATACACAGCCGAGTTTCAAACACCAATTTATATTGGTTTTTATATTTCAAATTGAAATTTTAAAAGATAATTTATATGATTATTTATATTAAGGTTGTGAATTTGACTCTTTACACATGGTCTTGGTCCTGTTTGACTCACTGCAGGGCGGGTAAAGATCAACATATTTTTAAAAATAAGTGAGGTGAGTGCGGGTTTAGTATTTTTTTATGCGGAACGGGTGTGAATCAGTCGAATTTAAACTACGTATACCCGTCAATCCGCAAAATATTTTTTTAAAAGACATTTTTTAAATGATTATATTTTTAAAATAATTAAAAATTACAAATATAAAAATATAATTAAAATATATTATTGTAGTTTAAAAAAATAAAAATTAATTATTTTTAATATTCTCTGTGGATCTCTTGGGTAATCTATAAATTTAAACGAAGTGGGTGCAAGTATAATTTTTTTCTATTTGCGGGCCAAGTGGATCAAAGTTTTGAATCAAAAAAATGATTCAACACGCAGCAGGGTAGGTCGATCCGCAAATTCAACACTAATTTATATGATGGTACATATAAAATACTATTAATTATATGATTATTTATATGATAATATGTATAAAATATGATTTAATTATATAATGATATATATATGATATATAATAATGATATAAAAAATAACAATATAGTTTAAAAAACTACACCCGTGCGGGCGCACGGGTCAAAATCTAGTATAATATTGTAACAACATAATAATGCTTATATATCTTAATTTTATATATAATTGATTTTAGCTTTTGAGAATAATATCATTCTATTATAAAATTTAAAAGTTAAAATTTTAAAATCAATTTTAATTAAATATTAATCAAACAAAAACATTTGTATAAAGATACTTTTAATTATATAATTAAATATTAGATATTAAAAATTGGAACGATTCAAGTTAATGATACCTTTAATAAAATTTATATATTTATATATAAATTAGTTAAAAGAGAATTTTATGTTAGTGATAGAAATTTATATGTTATTATATTAGTTAATTTATTATAAATTAATAGGATAATTATCCACATTCATGAATATTTAAAACATAAGATATCTTAGAGAATATTATACAGTTATCTGAAAATAATATTTTTTATTATGAAAAATAAAAATTTAGTTATAAAACAATTTAAAATTAAATATTAAGAAAAAATATAAATATATTTTCAAAATATTTTATTATGTGGATGTTTTTCAACACTATAATAAGCATATAGGTTTTGATGAAAATTCATATAAAATATTTATTGTTTGATTTAAGTTTTTTAAAACTATAAAAAATAACTTATAGTATTATTTTAAAATTAATAAAATAATAAATAATAAATATTCGTAGAAAATTGTGCCCGCATATTTTTAATAATTCATTAAAATACTTTTTAATTAAACTAATGACAATGATACATTAAAATAAATCAATAGTTTATTACTAATGTGTAGACTTACATTAGAATAATCCACCTGATCGCTAATTCTCTGCTAAACGCTTAATTACCATTTTTTAACATTGGTTAAAACGGTAATGAAGACCAGATTAATAATTACATTATGCAACAAATAATTAAACTCCATAAAAAAACAAAAGTGATTTATCAATAAAAAAAAATTATTTTCTAAAACTCATTTTCACATCTTCGTCCTCACACACAGATTCTTCAACTCAATCGTTGTCAAATGGAAACTCCATACCCAAACCTCATCACTCCCTCAACGACTCGTATCGGATGGATCGGCATCGGAATCATGGGATCCGCCATGGTCTCACACATCCTTGCCGCAGGCTACTCCGTCACCATCTACGCACGCGACGTCACCAAGTCAACGGACCTTCAAACGAAAGGCGCCCGCACTGCCACCACCCCGAGAGAGCTAGCCGAGAAGAGCGACGTCGTTTTCACGATGGTCGGAAATGCCAACGACGTCAGATCCCTCCTCCTCGGTCCCGACGGCATCCTCTCCAGCCTCAGACCCGGAGGAGTAACCGTCGACATGACCAGCAGCCAGTCTGCGCTTGCGCGTGAAATTCACGCGCAAGCCAGGCGGAGAGATTGCTGGGCGGTTGATGCTCCTGTGTCGGGAGGTGATGCGGGAGCTAGGGAAGGGACGTTAGCGATTTTCGCGGGAGGAGATTTGGAGGTTGTGAAGTTGTTGGATCCGGTGATGAAGTGTATGGGAACGGTTAAGTATATGGGAGGACCGGGGAGTGGGCAGAGGTGTAAGATCGGGAACCAGATATGCGCTGGGAGTAACTTGGTGGGGCTTGCAGAAGGGATGGTGTTTGCGGAGAAGGCTGGTTTGGATCCGAAGAAATGGTTAGAGGCAGTTAAGGATGGTGCGGCGGGGTCGGCGGTTATGAGGCTTTTTGGGGAGATGATGGCGGTGAGGGAGTATAAGGCGACGGGGTTTGCGGAGTATATTGTGAAAGATTTGGGGATGGCGGAGGAGGGTGGTGACGTGGCGGCGATGCCTGGGGCTGGTTTGAGTAAGCAGTTGTTTTCTGCGATGGTGGCGAATGGTGATGGTAAGTTGGGGATTCAAGGGGTCGTTTCAGTTATTAGGAGACTTAACGGCATGTCCTGATAAGACAATGTGTGTTCGTGTTAATGGTTTCATGAAACTTGTCTTCGATTTAGTGTGTGGTGAAGTTGATAATAATAACATGGAACCTTACATTATACGAGAGTCACTAACATAACGTACTGAGTATGATACGCCAGCTATATATGGGCTTATCTGCAGCTTCTTCCATCTTGGCTAAGAGATAGAATCATGGGACCAAGTGAAACTAGAATGATCAAAATTGTCACAAATCTCTCACGACTCTAATTCAACATCTTGACAACTTGTTTTGAAAAGAACAAACCACACGACTTAAATCACCAAATTGGTTATATAGCATCACTAGCATTAAAGGCATGATCTAAGATTAAGGTTTTATGTACATGTTTAGGTTAATCTTAAGATATACTTTTTTAACAATTAGGGACAATGTAACTATATATAATAGTTTTTAAAAATTTGGGGACAAAGACGAATGTTTGACCCGGATATGCCTAGAACCGGCCTTGGTAGCATTGTTAGATGATCAAGAACATTTACTTACCAAACTCTGTCCATGGAATAAGGCATCTAGAGCAATGAGCCATATCGAATGAGTTTGAAGGGAAAGGGAGACGTTGAGTTGATATGATTCCAAGAATAGCTGGAATTCCACGTTCTAGAGCAAACTTGACTTGAGCTTCGTGGTTATCTCTTGGGGCTAGTGACACCGTGAGGATACCACGGTCCAACAAGTCTCCTCCCCAGCTTGCAACCTTAAAAAGTTGACAACTAAACAAATTTACTTGTTATATAATAGTATAAATAATTTTATGAATAATTTATCATATAATAAAAAGAATTTCTATTAATAATTATACTTTTAGATAATAAGATAATTCTTATGTATTATATTTTTATCTTTAACATATATCTTTTTATCATACAAATTAAAAATTAAGTTAAAATATGATAAATAAGCAAAATATAAAGTTGAAGTGGTTAATATCATTTATACCCTTAATAAATAAAATATATAAATCAGCTAAAAATAAAAATAAATTTAATACTTATTTGATTAGATAAATGATTTAAATTAATAATAATGATAAAAATTATCCATAATCTAAATATATATGTAAAAATAAAATAAAAAGATTATTCTTATATATATTGTGTTGTTATCCGTAAAATATATTTTTGATAAAAAAAATTCAAAAACAGATCTATACTATTATTTGCGAAGTGATTTTTTCGCAACGGAGCTCTCACGTTAAAAGTTGAAGTGGTTAATATCGTTTATACCCTTAATGAATAAAATATATAAATCAGCTAAAAATAAAAACGAATTTAATACTTATTTGATTAGATAAATGATTTAAATTAATAATAATGATAAGAATTATCCATAATCTAAATATATATTTAAAAATAAAATAAAAAATATTATTCTTATATATATTGTGTTGTTATCCGTAAAATATATTTTTGCTAAAAAAATTCAAAAACAGAAAACACATAAATAAATATTCATAAAGTAAAATTTTTAATTGTATATAATTCAAAAGAGAAAATTGAAAAAAGTATAATACATAATTATTTTCAAATTAAAATTAATATAATAATATAATATAATGATATATATATATATATTCGTGAAGTTATTTTTCGCCTCTGAACTCACACGTTAAATTATTTTTATGTTTATATTTTATATAGTTAAACCTTAAACATGAATTATGATTTTTGCGAAGTGATTTTTCGCCTCTGAACTCACACGTTAAAAGTTAGAGTGGTTAATATCGTTTATATAAATCAGTCAAAAATAAAAAAAAAATTAATATTTATTTTATTAGAGAAATGATTTAAATTAATAATAATAATAATAAGAATTATCCATAATCTAAATATATATTTAAATATAAAAATAAAAGATAATTTCCATATATATATATATTGTGTTGTTATCCGAAAAATATATTTTAATATACAAAAATTAAAAAACAATAAGCACATAAATAAATATTCATAAAGTAAAATTTTTAATTTTATATAATTGCAAATAGAAAATTGAAAAAGTATAATACATAATTAAACCTTAAACATGAATTATGATATTTGCGAAGTGGTTTTTCGCAACGGAGCTCTCACTTTAAAAGTTGAAGTGGTTAATATCGTTTATACCCTTAATGAATAAAATTTATAAATCAGCTAAAAATATAAACGAATTTAATAATTATTTGATTAGATAAATGATTTAAATTAATAATAATGATAAGAATGATCCATAATCTAAATATATATTTAAAAATAAAATAAAAAGATTATTCTTATATATATTGTGTTGTTATCCGTAAAATATATATTTGATAAAAAATTCAAAAACAGAAAACACATAAATAAATATTCATAAAGTAAAATTTTTAATTGTATATATTTCAAAAGAGAAAATTAAAAAAGTATAATACATTATTATTTTAAAAATAAAAGTAATATAATAATATAATATAATGATATATATATATATTCGTGAAGTTATTTTTCACCTCTGAACTCACACGTTAAATTAATTTTATGTTTATATTTTATATAGTTAACACCTTAAACATGAATTATGATATTTGCAAAGTGATTTTTCGCAACGGAACTCTCACATTAAAAGTTAGAGTGGTTAATATCGTTTATATAAATCAGTCAAAAATAAAAAGGAATTTAATATATATTTGATTAGTTAAATGATTTAAATTAATAATAATATTAATAATTATCCATAATCTAAATATATATTTAAAAATAAAAATAAAATGATAATTTCCATATATATATATGTATTGTGTTGTTATCCAAAAAATATATTTTAATGTACAAAAATTGAAAAACAAAAAGAACATAAATAAATATTCATAAAGTAAAATTTTTAATTTCATATAATTGCAAATAGAAAATTGAAAAAGTATAATACGTAATTATTTTAAAATTAAAAGAATATAATAATATAATATAATGATATATATTTGTGAAGTTATTTTTCGCCTCTGAGATTACACGTTAAATTAAATTAAATTTATTTTTATATTTTATATTTTATATAATTAAACCTTAAACATGAATTAATCATAATAAAATAAAAGATCATTCAAAAAGAAATAAAATACGTGTTTGACAAAAATAAATTTAAATATATTGTATTATTATCCAAACTAATATTATTTTTCTGTAAGATCAATTTTTGAATGTATATTTATCGATTCAATTTTTCAAATTGAAAGATACATTTTTATATTTTAATCAATCAAGAAGAAAGGAAATAGACTTTAGATTTTTCAAAGTTTAAAAAGAGAAAGTATATTTATTAATTTGTGAATAATTTTATCATGTAAAAAAGTTTAATGTTTTATGTCAAGTTTTTTGGATGCAAATAATCCTTTATTTTGAGGATTTTTAAATTGATTTAAAGATAATTAAGCCCGCATATGCGGGCAAAAGCCCTAGTGTAAAGAAAATACGGGACAATAAGAATGGAAAAGCATAATATGTAAGCAGAAATAAAACGGGCCTACAATTAATGTATAAAAGCAACATTTACTCTTTAAAATTCCATTTTGATAGCGTGGAGTCAGATTTGCACTCTGAGCTAGAAGCACTGCGGTGGGCAATGGAGAACATGCTTCAACATTCGTCATGTCAGAGCTTTGGGACGAATTGCAAGGAAATGATAACAATGCTTAGGAGCCCACAGGATTGGCCAAGCTTCTCAACAGAACTGGAAAAGCTAACCACATTGCGGATTTGCTTCCCAGACTTTAAGATTTCTTATGTTCCTAGGACACATAACAGTTTTTCCGATTCCCTAGCTAAGACTACTCGATCTTTCTATCGAGAGTTGGTGTATGTTGGTTGTTCTTTTCCGGTCTGGATTCCCAAACAACCTCAAGCTTGAGTAATAGATCAGCCTTTCGTTGTCAGAAAAAAAAAAAAACTTCCACGTTTAACTTTCTTTGTTCTTCTTTTTTTCGTGACTCTTAATTTTTTTTTTCTGGTCTCTTATATTTATGTAGGCCCCCATTTTATTTTTTACTTAGACAATTTCCAACCCAAACTTATGTTTTCCTCTACAATTTCCATAAAAATAGAGTAACTCTGTTTTTAAGTAACTTTTGCTCCAGTGGTTCACTCTAAAATAGAGTTACTCTTTTATAGAAATAGAGTTACTTTATTTTTGTGGAAATTATAGAGGAAAAAATAAGTTTGGGTTGGAGATGCCCTTAGGACTTCACTTATTGCAGGGAGACCCCTATACACGGGGTAGATGATTGAGTCAAGTTTATGGACGTAAAATTTTGAAGTAAGCCGATGTTTTTCGTTTAAGAAAACAATAAAACACTTTGATTTGTAATAATCGGATCCATAAAAATAAGTACCAATAAATGTTAAATAAAAAGAGTAAATGAAAACCTTGAACAATTTTTCAATTAATAAAGATCGAATGAAAGAGAACAAACCAAAAGAAAATTATTATTGTGGTCTGATTGGTAAGTGAAAAGGGTTAGGATGTTAATATGTTTTAGGTTCGATCAATCTGTCAGGTGTTTAATCTGAATTTAGATTAAATGATTAAATATTTTTTGTAGGTTTCGGAAGACGTTTATTGAATATTAAAACAAGTACAAGAGTTCAGAATCAAAGAAGAGAACGAGAACGAGATTACGAGAGTTTGGATCTAAGAGATTAACCTTAAATCTTGCCGCCAGTCTCTAGTGGCTAATTTTCGGATCCTCTTCTCGTTGCCCCTCTTCTCCTCTTTATACTCCTCTCCTCGTCTCGACCTAGGTCTCCTCGTCTTGACCTAATTCGGCTGGGCCGAATTGGCAATGTGCCAGTTTACGGGCCGGTCATCTCACCTTTCCATTGAAATTGGCTGGAATCTTTCTTTGTTGGGCCATAAAAGGGGTTTAGTGGAACTCTCCCTAAACATCAGGCAAAACTAAGTCACACTACTCATACTTAAGCACATCTACATAAATATGAATTTATGATTTTGG